TTTTTGTACTTAATTTTAAGCTCGTTCTTTATTTTTATATTATATTATAGTTCGAGAGATTATTTAAATCAAAAATGCAAGTTCTTCTTAGTTTATTGAATTAGAAATATAATGAAGATATCAATATTTATATAATACATATGCGGCTTTAATCATTTGATAAAAATGATAATTACTGATATAAAAGTAAGATGAACTACACTATCTTCCTTTCCTTAATTGATTCCATTAAATACTAAAGTTTTCTACTATCCAGATTAAGTATTACAGTCGACTTTACTATCCAGAAACTACAAATTGCTCAAAGTCAGGCTCTCCGAAGACTCTTCAAAGTACCATGGTACATCCGCACAAATGAGATGCTAAGATACCTTAAAATAGATGCGATCAAAAAATATATAAGGGACAGAGCCCTGAAGCTATATGTGAAAACCTACAGGCTGCCCTACTTAGCACTATCTAATCTAAGAGTAATCACTAACCGCACGGGTCGGTATGCAGACCTTAGATCAATCATTGAATAAGCACGAAGCTTATGACGAATAGACAAATTAGTCAGTGAGATGGGTGGGACTCTGCACAAACCTCCCAGCTATCAAAGAGTTGAAGTGCCCAGATGCACTAACTCGGAAAAAGTGTTGAGCTTTTGTTGAGTGTTGAGCTCAACACTTTATTATGGTACAAAGTATTATTGAGTATTGATATTCAAATGTCTGAGTTGGTGAATCAGCATCTTTACTCTATTTTATCTGTGGACAGTTTTAAGTTACACTAAATACGGGGTTTTACGGGGCTTTATAATATGATGGATCTGATGTCTTTGTATCTGCCTGTGTTTATCAAATTTCGCTGTATTTTTAGGATACAGAGTGTACAAAGTGTTGAGCATACATTATTGTTTAATATAAGCAGTGGCTGATTTCCTACGAATGCCTAAGCTTTTTATTGTTTAAAAATAATAATAAATAATTGAATAATTTTAAGACAATAACATCGAATAGACAAAGAGATAACAGCAGTGGGTGATTTCCTTTGAATTACAAAGTTTATGTGTTCATAAGAAAAAGAGAATTTATATTTCGTTCTTTAGATTTTAATTATTTATCATCCTAAGCAACAATTTATCTGGTTTTAGCCGTAAATGGAAACCATTTTGATTATAAATTAGAAGTAAAAACTTCAACCACTTAAATTCATAAACGACACATAAATTAAATTTCCTAGGAAACGCACTCTATTTCATTTAATTCCTTCACTCGGTTATTTTATTGAAGTGGTTTTTGTTCCAGCTCTCATATTGAATGCACCATTTCCTTATATTTCACACGTAGTGCCTTGCTTTGTCCTGTCATTATTTAGCTTTGAACACATTTCTCACATATTTCTTGGTATTTCCCTTAAATAATTTTCCTCAATTTTCTTTACTTGCAGGTACCGCCAGACACGTTTTAGTTCGCGTCGTGTACGGAAACGTGTTGTGTTCAAACATGGCGACTGCAATGTCGTGCAAGGAAACGTCGCCAAACGACGCCGCAGGTATCTACAGGTGAGTTGGTCTAGTGTGCGGAGCTTATATAAAAAGGAATTGGGTTTGATAGCCAAGTTTTCATTTCCTGCGCTCCTCTTCGACCTGTAGCAATTAGGCAACTCCTAAGTAAGGGGAGAGGGGGAAGGGGGGTTTTCTTTGACATTGCCACTGCAGGAACTGCTGTTAAGTAATTCTAACCCAGCGGCGTTCTGCAGTCACGCATTTTTGTTGGAAGCTCCCTCGCTTTTCTCTTGCGATTGTTGTTGTTCAGTTTTCCTTTCAATTTTAAATAATTGTTTGCATGTTAATAAGAGTTCAGGACAACACTTCTGTCGTGCACTTGGGATCGTTATTCTTCGTTCCAGTCACGTAACTAGGATGCAGAAATGCAGTACCTACGCATTTGGAGAGTGGAGAGTGGGACGCTTAAGTCGCGCGCATATATTCACTCTTAATTATAAGCCATTTCAAGGCAATTGTCATGTGTTATGACGTTTGCTTTAAACGTTTCTATTTTTATAATAAAATGGGAGGTTGTCGGAACTGACAAGTGTCCCTGAAGACATCTTATGTGAGCTCATCTAAAATTTTTTAATGCAATTTTATAGTATTTATCTTCCGCAAAGCGAATTAAACGTGTGGGAACTAAATCTAATTTGTATAAGCTAATTTTTAAAAATTATAAACTAAAAGAATAAAAAAGTTATTTTTATACTGTAAATAATACGTATATAGTTATAATAATAGAGTAGAGGAATTAGTTTAAGGTTTTAAAACCAACTGCGAAAATGATGTGATGAAGTAAACAAAAATGTGTTAGGTGATATAAAATGAATTAAAATGCATATAAAAAGATTAGCTGAAAAAATCAATAAAAAAGAAGTAGACAGAGACAAGGCCATGAAGGAAGTGGAAAAGAGGACAATTAGACTATACAAAGGTTTAAAAAGAAAAGTCAAAAAACAGCAGAATAATTATAGAAATAGTGAGAGAAATAATATAAATTATAATAATAATAGAAAAAATAAAAAATAACACAAAAGATAATTTAAAACTGTGAAGATATGAAAGAAATTAGAGCTGCAATATTGAAGAAGAGGAAGAAAGTAGAAAAAAAGGGAAGAAGAAGGAAGGAAGTAAGAAGAAGGAAGGAAGAAGAAGAAGAGAAGAAGAAGGAAAGAAGAACAAGGAAGGAAGAAGAAGGAAAAAAGAACAAGGAAGGAAGAAAAAGGATGGAATAAAAAGGAAAGAAGAAAAGGAAGGAAGAAGATATGTAAGTTGAAAAAGGGAAAAAAATGATGAAAAAGATAGTATCTAAAGTTTTATCTTCAGTTTCAGTTTAAATAATAGCCAAACAATATATAAAACAAAAACAATTTGAAACTTGCTTTTGATAAATCATTAACTCCCTTTACAGAAATAGGCGGCAATAATATCAATTAGTAATATATAATTAATTCATAAGTTTTTTCACTTATAATTACAAATAAAATATTTACTAAAAAATAATTATAAAATATAATGTTAACATAATATAATAAAATATAATGTTA